GGTTTATTTGGCTTACACTTCCATATTGCTGTTCATTATTGAAGGAAGTCAGGGCAGGAACTCAGACAGGGAAGGAACCTGGAGGCAGGAGCTGATGCAGAGGCCATGGAGTGGGGAAGGCTGCTGCTTAATGGCCTGCTTCCCCCTGGCTTGCTCAACCTGTTTTCTTATAGAATCCAGGTTCACAAGCCCAGAGATGGTACCACCCACCATGGCCTTGGCCTTCCCCCACTGATCATTACTTGAGAAAATGCCTTACAACTGAATCTCATGAAGGCATTTCCTCAGTTGAGGTGCCTTTCTCTCTGATAACTCCAACTTGTGTCAAGTTGGCACACAAAACCTGCCAGTACAGTGAGCTTAAGCTTCAAGTCTCAGGGGCTGGAGAGATGGCTCAGTGGTTAAGAGCACCGGCTGCTCTTCCAGAGGTCCTGAGTTCAATTCCCAGCACCCACATGGTGGCCCATGACCATCTACAATGGGATCTGATGCCCTCTTCTGACACGCAGGTGTACATGCGGAGTACTCATACATAAAATTAAATAAAGTTAAAAAAAAGAAAAGAAAAAAAAAGCTTCAAGTCTCAGAGAGAGACCCTGTCTCAAAAAAATGAAACAGAGTTACCAAGGAAGATTGACCTCTGCATGTGAGTGCTCTCTCTCTCTCTCTCTCTCTCTCTCTCTCTCTCTCTCTCTCTCTCCCTCTCCCTCTCCCCCCACCCCACACATTGTGTGTAAAACAGAAAAAATGTTAAATGTTAGATGCATTTTGATTTGGGATCAGATCAGGACAGAATTTGTAAAATGACTCTAAACACAATTCTGCAATTTTATAATACATGTTTATGTGAAGCAATGTTCTCAAGATCTATAATTATAACATCGTAATGTTAATCAACTCTGAAAAACATTGGAGATACTCTTATGTTCTGCAGTTCCAAATCTTCACCCAAATCAATTTTTTTTAAAAAGATTTATTTATTATGTATACAACATTCTGCCTCCATGTATGCCCGCTCGCCAGAAGAGGGCACCAGATCTCATTACAGATGGCTGTGAGCCACCATATGGTTGCTGGGAATTGAACTCAGGACCTTTGGAAGAGCAGCCAGTGCTCTTAATCGCTGAGCCATCTCTCCAGCCCAATTCTTTCTTAATTAATTAATTAATTAATTGTACATCCTGGCAGCAGTTTCTCCTTCCAGTCCCTCCCTCCCCACTCTACTGCTCTGTTTCCATTGTCCAATCCACTCCTCTGTTTTTGTTTAGGAAAGGGCAGGTCTTTCCACCAACATGTTGAACAGGTCAACAAAACATGGCATATCAATCTAAATTAATTCTTTATATAAAATAAATAAGTACATGCACCTCAGTATAAAAATTCCCTTTAGTCATAATTAAATAGTAAAATTACATGTATACCAAATAATCATGTTAAAATAAATTTATAATTGGTGCTTCTTTATATGTTCATGAGAGTTCTAATGTTAAAAAGTGTATTTATTGTTATTGCATGTATATAACTTGTGGTTGTACATGTTATGGTGATGTGTTAGAAGACAACTTTGTAGAATGTGTTATTTCCATCTTTACATGGATTTAGAAAATGAACTTCAGTTGTCAGATGTGCACTTTCGCCAGCTAAGCCATCTCACCAGTTTGAATTGTAGCTTTTCAAAGTACACTTTTGCAGGAGAACAAAACTCTAAATTTAAGCTCAAAGTCTGTGTCAGCATGTGTGGTTTTCTCTACAGATTTCGATGCAAGGTCATACCCTATCTAGGTAGAACACAGAAACTGTAGGTTGAGCTGGATCCTGTTATGTTCTAGCTCCCACAACCATGATTGCAGTAGAAACACAGATCTCTGAATCTTTCTTCTGCCGTCCAACTGAAGGAGGCAGAAAATCTACTGCAAAGTTAACTGAAAAATAAAGAGAAAAAACGACAAAGATGAAGCCCAGATGGAAGAAAGCCTCTGCAGTGTGGACCAGCTCTTCCTGGCTCTTAGAGACAAAAACTGGCTACCGTGTAGGGCTGGTAGCTTAGGGAGACACAAGGGGCATTGTTAGGGTCAGGGTCTTAGACAATCCTTCCCTTGTTGATTCCATGCTCACCCTTGGACTCAGTTGCTCCATGAGTATCCTTTTTTTTGCAGAAAGAATGTAGCACAGGTTGGCTCCTGTACCAAGATGCAAGGTTTCCCAGGCTCTGCCTACACCTCTACCTGAGTAGCCAAATAGTTCTTTCTGTGTGGGAGTAGAGAAGTGAAATTATTATTTTTGTTTGTTTGTTTGTTTCGAGACAGGGTTTTTCTGTAACTTTGGAGCCTGTCCTGGAACTAGCTCTTATAGACCAGGCTGGCTTTGAACTCACAGAGATCTGCCTGCCTCTGCCTCCCGAGTGCTAGGATTAAAGGCATGTTCCTCCACCACCCAGCTTAGAAGTGAAATTTTAAAAGAATTATGACATTTGATATTTCCTGAATAAAGTGATTATGGCATTGATAAGGAAGAAAGGGAAGTAAGTCCATCTAACTGGGGAATACAGGTATTTTTGCCTGCTTTTTTTGTAAAAAAAAAAATTAAGAAACTTTTAAGACACAACTCAGCCATTCCAGGTAGGGAAAAGTATGGGAAGACAGCCAACTAGGTCCATAAGGTATAGACAGTCCTGGTAGCCAATGCTGATAGATACAACTTAAATGAACATTTTAACGTACCCTCCCCTGTGACAAATAGCGAAACATTCCAAAAAAACCTAATGTAGATCAAGCCACCTATTCGATGAACAAGTGATGTATAGTAACAGGAGAAAATGACAAACCTTCTAGAGTACATATAAGGAGGAAACGCTAGGAAATTGTCCAACTCTGATAAATTAACAAAAAGCAGGAATAACATCCTCTAATTTTTCCTTTTATTTATTTAATATAAATAAATATATTTATATATTTTATAAATTTAATTCTCTCAAAGCACTGTTTATTAAACCTAGCTTTGAGCTATGGTTTGGGATGGCTTCTTTAGGTGTTTGTTGTCTATTGTGAACTTGGGTGTGCGTCAGGATTTCCTGTCTGGTTCATTGATCTGTTCAAACCCCAGAACCAGTCTGAAAGAGACTGTGTGGTATGTTTCATACTGAGCGATGCAATCTCTTGTTTTGGTTCTGTTTTTATGGTGTTATGGTGCTTATTACATGGAAGTTACTAGTACTGTGTTTGAGAGTTCACCTGGAGAAGGGGAATCCTTTGGAGCCTGAGCCTTTTTATGAGTCATTGATGGATACTTTCCCACTTCAGATACTCTGGTGGTTTGAGTGAAGATGACCCACATAGGCTCATATATTTGAATGCTAGTTTCCTAGTTGGCTGAACTGCTTGGGGAAAGATTAGGATATGTTAGATGAGGTATGCCACTGGGAGCCGGCTTTGAGGTTTCAAAAGCCTAGGCCATTCCTAGCTAGTTCTCTCTCTCTCTCTCTCTCTCTCTCTCTCTCTCTCTCCCCCTCCCTCCCTCTCTCTCTCTCCCTCCCTCCTTCCCTTCCTCCCTTCCCCCCTCCCCCCATCCATACAACTTGGGCAACTTGTAGGTTGACTACCAAGCTCCACTGTCACAGTGAGAAGAAGTCTGTAGACAGAGTAAGTTTCACGGTGTCATTGAAACTTTTGTATGAAACCAAGAAGCAGATCATACTTGAGTCATAGTCTCTCTGCCCTGATACAGGTTATAGCAGTCACCCTCGCTTCGTTTCTTGATATTACTAAAGACACCTGGAATTTTTTCCCTTTAAGTAAGTTGGTGCCTAAAGAGTAATACACACATTACTACCACCATAACTGCTTCTACCACGTTATGAAATTTTTTTTAAAAAATTAGGAATGAGTAATTTATTGAAGGCTTCTTTATTTCTATAAAGGATACTCAGGTATTTGTCCTTAGATATATAATATAGTATATTAGTAGATTTATTAATAATGAGCCAAACATATGACTGAAGCAAATATACTTGGATTCACGGTTTGATCATTGATCAAACTGGTCATTGTTTCTTAATGTGAAATTCACTGTTATTTAGTGCATTTACATCAGCCCTCAAAAATAATATTGATTTGTTACTTTATTTTTTATGGTACTTTTATATCAAAGTTAAGTTGTTGAAGTCATATTTAAAATAATTAAAATCTTCTTTACATTCTATTTCTAGTCAAATTATTTTTCCCTTTTTCTTTTATTATTATTATTTTTTATTGATTTTTATTAAGCTCCACATTTTTCTCTGCTCCCCTACCTGCCTCTCCCCTCCCCTCTTCAACCCTCCCCCAAAGTCCCCATGCTCCCAATTTCTCAGGAGATCTTTTCTTCTACTTTCCATGTAGATTAGGTCTATGCAAGTCTCTCTTAGTGTCCTCATTGTTGTCTAAGTCCTCTAGGATTGTGGTTTGTGGCTGATTTAGCCCCCAAATGTGCTCAAGTTGGATGATTTCTAAGGTAAACCAGACTTTCAAGGAATACATTGCTTTTGTCATAAACAAGTAGGTCAAGATGATGGGGAAGGGTCTAGATTGGATGTTTTTTGTTGTTGTTTTTTTTTGTTTGCTAGACACAAAAATTAGGAGAAACTGTATACACAAATTCTTAGAAAAGCTGAAAAATTTTCAAAATAGTATACAGAAAGCTGAACAATGGAGAGAAAGGTCCCCTTCTGCTTCCTCTTGGGATGATGCCTCATTATGTCAGCCGGTGATGTTTTATTTTATTAAACATGTATACTGTATCCCCAGGAGAGAGATCTAAGTCTTTAAACTCACAAACATGGCCGACTTCCTTGGTCTCCTGTTAATGGAGAACTGTTACAAAAAAAGTGATAGAAAGTTGATGTCAGTGCTTCTAGAGGTCATACGACACAGGAGAAATGTTGGGTAGTTATTCAGAACTAACCACCTCTTTCTTTTCATTTTGGGTGAGCCAAGTCGGTTTTATTTATTGTTTTTCTTTCTTAGTCTCTCAATGGCTTCGCTCTGGTGGTGAGTGCAGAAGGGATGATCTTTTATGCTTCAGCAACAATTGTGGACTATCTGGGCTTCCATCAGGTAAATGAAGCAAAAATATATTAAATGTGGATTCCATTACCTTTGTAAATGTGTATTGTCTTCAAAGCTTAAGACTGTTTACGATCAAGCTTTTGATATCACATGATTCAGCTTTGTCTTGGACAGCAGGTCAGCGTCTGTGGAGTATTGTGGTGCTTGGAGACCCAGGGACTTGGGCTGAGACTCTACTCTCAGCCCTCAGATTCAGAGCACCATCTCATTTGATAACTCTCTGGCCCTACACATCTTCAACAGCTCTCAAATTGGGTTATTAATATTTTTATGCTCTGAAGAAATTTTCTTTCTATCTGTATCAGATGTTTGCCTCTGCTTCTGCCTTCAATAATGCCTTTTTAAACTCCTTAAATTTTTCTGTGGCCTCTTTAATACTTTTGTATCCATTCTGTAGCCTACATACACACACATACACATGAGAGAGAGAGAGAGAGAGAGAGAGAGAGAGAGAGAGAGAGAGAGATCTGATAGACAGATATAGACAGATAGAAGGATAGACGATAAAAAGATTTACTATGTGATATATAATGCTGATTTAAAATGAATTTAATAGTTTCCAAGAATTAAAATAATATGGCTATTTCTTATACACACCTCATAGTTTAACTTACTGTCACCTGAGCTGAAACCAGAGTCCCTCAAAACTAAGGATACTGTTACTATCAGAACTTATCTTGATATGATACTTAACCTGTCCTTGGTATCATTTGTACATTATCATTTTTGCCCCTGGGCAGTATTTCTTCCACAGTCTCCATTGCTGTATTTAGGCTGGCATGGAAGCCATGTAGAAGACCCCAGTGAGTGATGACATTGACCAGCTGAGTGGGACCGGATGGGGGTGGCTGGGCTCTGCCACTCAGAAGTTATGTCTCAGTCCCTTCAGTAGTACAGTTGACAGTAATGCTATCTGAATGTATACGAAGAGTCCTAGGCACCCAAATAAAAAGTGCCCCTGCCATCTGTTCTTAGTGGCCATGATACCTCAGCTTGGTCAAGTACAATATCCATGGCCTGACGACGTGGAACTTTTCATCCTCTGGAGATGAGCCTGGTCCTGAGGAGACCTTATATAAGAGCACTGAGTCAGTCTCTCCTCCCTGAGATGACAACAGCCTCCAGGGAAGACTGAGGTCTGCTTGAACTATTTCATTTCCGAAAGTAGACTCTACCAACTGTGACTCTGTTTACAACATGGAAATATTGTGCATTTGACAGTCTCTGTGACCCTCTGCTCTGTGTAGGGTCCTGGTGTCCTAACAGTGCAGGATTTGGGCATGGAGGCAGATAAGAACATGACTCATATATTAAAATAGTCCCCAATATAGTCTTTTCTGCTTGTGTGTGCATTCAAAGCTAGAGACACTTGCCACCTTCTACATGTTCAGAATTATTTTAATTTAATCCTTGTCTGTGAATAGGCTATAAACTCCTTAGTTACACCTAAACCTCCTCCCATTATCTCAAACTGATGGTCCGCTACAGAGTTGGGGGTTGAGGACAGAGGCACTGAAGTATGGAGTGGCTTATTTTCAAGGTTAGAATTTGTTTGCCGGAATTTTACTTATTAGAGGTCTGCTATTTTTCCTTGTCAGAAGTATAAATCAGTTTTCCCTTCATTATAGAAAGTGTTTCCATTGTCTTTACTTTATGCGAAGTATTTCACAAGAATATTACAATAACCTTGTGCTCTCAGTAACATCTTGTATTGAATGCTTTGCAAAAGTTAAGAGTCAATTCCTTCCTGGGGCTGCCTGAATATACTGTCTAGCTCCTTCAGATCAGCACAGCTGTAAAATTAAGGCCTATGAGGCTTATTCATTCAGGAAGCTGCCTGTTTCCCCACAGTAACCTGTGGCATCTGTCACCAAGTGAACCAGAACATCAGAGCCCAAAGGTCTAAGCCCAGTTAGTAGATGCATACATCTTTGCCCAGACAAGCAGCTTCTAAAAGATAGGCTCGCCTTTGTGTCCTACTGTATGAGTAGTAGCTTGACGCTGAAATAAAGACTTCTCTTAGTGGCAGCAGGGTCTAGTTTTTGTGTCAACTTTACCCCTTCTTACATTTTCTCATTACTCCTCTTGGTTCTGCTCTACAAACTGAAGGACAAGGGCCACCACACCTGTGGTATTAGTTATTAAAACAGGAATTTGTTTCTCTCTCTCTCTCTCTCTCTCTCTCTCTCTCTCTTTGTTTTTTTTTTTCTTCAAGACAGGGTTTCTCTGTGTAACAGCCCTAGCTGTCTTAGAACTCACTCTGTCGACCACACTGGCCATGAACTCTGCTTCCCGAGTGTTGGGATTAAAGTCGAGTACCACCACTGCCCGGCCAGAAATTTGTTTCTTAAATCTAAAAACATTTCATGCTTTCTTCAAATTGTCATGGAAATATATGGCTTTGCTTTGAACTCCCTTCTGGCTTTGCTGTCTCTTCCACTGTCTTGTCTGCCCTTTGCTTCGGTTCACTGCAGACTCAAAGCTCATGCTAACCTAGATATGCTCATTCACGTAGAGATGATAGATAAGGGTATTGGGAGGCCTGGGGACACTGGAAACCACACTCTCCAGTAGATCTACAAAGCTCAGAGTCATCCAAAAACTGGGTAAAAAGAATGTATTGCTACAGCACCTGCTTGCACCCTCAGTCTGGGAATCATGGGAGCCCACTGTGCCCAGGTCAGTAGTTTCTCTAGTTAAAACCACATAGCGAAATAGAACTGCCTGAACATGGTAAAAACTGTTAAGTTTTAAATTCCTGGTTAATGGGAATCTGCCGGTGCTGATGCAATAAGCCAATCAAAATGAACTAATAAATCCAGGTTTATTCTGAGCAAAGCATTCCTGTGTGGCCCCAGGGGAAGTTGAGGAGACCACGAGGGGGAATCCCACGAGGGATCTTAATGCTGACAGTGGCTTTCTCAGGGGCAGAGTATGTACTGAGGCAACTCCAGGGGAGGGAGCTTGGGGTGGAGCATCCACAACAGCAACAAGAACACCAAATACTCAGGATGAATGTGGTCAATGACTTAAAGAACACCCACATTCTAATTTTTAATTAAATTGACTGGTCTAAATACACAAAAGACTCATTACCATCATGAAGATGTCAGCCTTCTCCACATCAAACTATACAATTAATGGGATTACAGTGGAAGTAGAGACATTTTGGGCAAACACTGGCTCTCTAATTCTAGACTCTTCATTGACAGGCGTGTGCCATTATAATAGCATTCCTAGGAGAGGAGGGGGTTACCAGATGGGATAGTGCAAGTCAGGCAGACCCACAAACAGCACTGCTCAGAGACAAGTGCCTTGGACCTATGAAAACAACCATTCCTGCAGTCATCCAAGTCAGAGAAAACCATCTTATCCCCTGATTTATACCAGGGGGAATGACAGACATTTCTAGAGATAGCAGGGCAAAGATAGGAGGAAAGAGTGGCTATTTATAAAATGTCAACACATGAAGATGATGCTGCCACACAAAGACCAGTCTTACAGTTGTTATACTGGGTGAAAACATAGATCCCAAAGAATCCAGTATTCTTTTCTTATGGGATTCAACCTGTGTGCGTAGTATAAATCATAATTGAGGGGTGTCCCAAGAGGCTCCAACATCATGCTTCCTGAAATGGGGATTTTCTCTATTCAGGTCAACTTCTGCTATCCTTCAGTGTCAGTTCATTAGGGTGACTGAGGTCATGATGACCAAACCTGTAATTCTTGCCCTGTTGGGGCTGGAGGCAAGATCATGAGTTAGAGGACAGCCTGGGATAACTAACCTGTTTTTGAGACTCTCTCTCTCTCTCCTTTAAAAAAAGGAAGCAAAAAAGCTAAAAGGAGATTGGTGTGTTCATTTCTGCCACAAAGAGATTTCTGTGCCTCAGCACCACAATTGCCTCCAGAGCCCTGACCCTAGATATCCCTAACCAGACAGAGGTTGTATCTGACGACTCTGCCTTCTCTCTGGTATGTGTGCGAGCATTTCTTTGTAAAAATGTTCCCTCTAGATATGCCTGCCACTGAGCCCATGCATGTTTATGACTACACACTTCTGTCACCTCCCAGAGGTATCTTATTTGTTATCTGGGGTACCACAGGGCTTATCCACAAAGTTACAGGCAATGATAAGGACGTGGAAAACGTGAAGGATTTCATGAACTCTAGGTGAGATTGCTAGTTACATTTTAAAAATGTAACAAGTTTCTAAGGTCTTGATTACTAGGGAACTTTTGCCCATCTGAGAAGAGTATTCTAGTTATCATAATCATTCATTTGGAAAGGATGAAACCTAGAAATAGATCTAATATGAGAATCCAGTCCTATAGAGATGCTGCAGAACCTGATGGCATTAGTAGGCTGGGTTCCCAATGGAAAGAATAAGCAAGATTCTTCATTATGGGGATGGTAAGGGTCATAGGAGACCTCTCCAAGATCATGGGTTATCTGTACATGGCATAGTCAAAATGAGGCCAAAGTTTCTGCTCTATCCACCAGACAGCTACCAGAGGACTCCAGTACCTGAAAATTTTGACTTTTTCTTTAAGGAGGTTAGAGGAAAGAGGACCAGAGAGAGAGATAAGATCTGGTGGGTCCTAGGCACATCATGGACCTGAGTAGGTTGAAGTATATGACACAATTGGCATGAAGTCCAAGAGTTGATTTAGGAAAGAGGACTACTCTGACTAAGTGCCTATGGCTTTGAGGGCATGATGATACCATCATGCAGGCCAGATCCTGGGGGCACAGAGTGAAGATGCCCTGGAATTACATGAGCATGGAGACATATCCTTCCAGGGAGGGCTGTTGGAACCTCAAAAAGGTCTGCCTTTTTCTCAAAGTTTTTTCTTTACATATGTGACTTATCTTTGAATTATTGACGTGGGGATCATGTGAATCACCAGAACCTATAAATTCAAGATGAGGCTAAAGCAACTGCTTCTGTATTTCAGACAGACGTGATGCACCAAAACATTTATGACTACATCCATGTGGATGACCGACAGGACTTCTGTAGACAGCTACATTGGGCCATGGACCCTCCACAGGTGATGTTTGGGCAGTCCCCACATCCCAACACAGGTAGGCCAATTTCAATGACATTCACGCTTTCCTCTGAATCTACATGGAATTTCCTTCAGAATTCTTTCTCTTGAGCTTTCCTCTCCAGACTCCTTCAGCAAGAAGTTGGTCTATCCTAGGCTCTATGTGGCTACTGAGGACCTTTGCATCATTGTGCTTGGTCCAGTCTCCTCTGCTCTTCATTATGGCAGACACTTGAGATACCCGGCTCACAGAGAGGAAAAGATTATTGGAAGGGTTCAGTTTATTAACTGTGGATCCTTTGCTTTTAGACACTTAGGAAGAGGCAGCACATTGTACTATGAGTGTCTGGCAAAATCCTTATCTGGCATCCAACTCAGAGAGGAAAAAAGGGAACTGGATCCATATTAACTACTTTAGCTGTTGCTGCAACAAAATACTTTACAAAAGCAGCTTAAGGAAGGGTTTATTTGGGGCTGGAGAGATGGCTCAGTGGTTAAGAGCACTGTCTGCTCTTCCAGAGGTCCTGAGTTCAATTCCCAGCAACCACATGGTGGCTCCAAACCATCTGTAATGAGATCTGGCGCCCTCCTCTGGCATGTGGGTATACATGGAGGCAAAAAGTTGTATACATAATAAATAAATAAATAAATCCTAAAAAAAGGAAGGGTTTATTTCTGTAGCCCACCATATCAGAAAAGCCTTGGCAACAGGACCATGTGGCAGCTGGTCACACTGCACCCACGGTTAGGAAGCAGAGATGGGAGTCCCCAGGTCATGGAGTGGTGTAACCACATTTCAGGTGGGTCTTACTACCACAATTAATCCAATCTACTCCCTCATAGACATTCCCAGAGGTTTGTTTCCTAAGCTGTTCTAGAGCCTATCAAGTTGAGAATCAAGATTAATAATCATAGCTCTATCCCTTGTTATGTTAACACCCAAACATATCACTTTAAATTGTTACAGGGTCCCATAATACCTCTCAAGGACATGCCTCTACAGCTCTAACACCTCTTACTGACTCTTATAAGTTCCATCACCATAAGCTGGAGTCCATGGACCTTTGGAAAATATCCAAGATCCAAACTCCAAGGTCTACCATATTTGGTATTTCCAACACCCGCTAAGAGCCTAAGAACTTGTCACTTGTTTCACAAGCTCTCTCAAGCCCCTTATCTGCTTTGTACCTATTCACATTTAACTGAAAAACAAAATCTTCCACAGCAATAGTTATCTTTTGTGCACTAGAACCCTGTAAATCACTCCCCAACAAATCCATTGAACCCAATTGATAAATATGAGTTGTAAATAGAGTATTTCCATAAGTAGTAGGTAACAGTGGATTTGGAGGATATAGATGCATGTGGGTCCTGGGCTTCATCCAGGAGTTCATTCAGACGATGGTTTCCTACAGAAACTTTAAATAATTCAAAGAAAAATTTCCACCCAACCTCAACATCCAACAGAATAATTCACCTTAGACCTAAGGTGCCTTTGCATCATACCATTTATACAGCTCAAACAACACTAAATGGCCAACCTTAGTCACACATGAATCAGTGCTAAAAACCAACACCATTAAGGGTAGGGCCAATGAAAGAAAAATCCATCCAAGCACTATCTCTTAGAGATGTACGGGATGGCAAAGGCTTGAGGAACCATGGAGACATGTTTATTTTAAACAGAGTAGCGGGGCTGGAGAGATGGCTCAGAGGTTAAGAGCATTGCCTGCTCTTCCAAAGGTCCTGAGTTCAATTCCCAGCAACCACATGGTGGCTCACAGCCATCTGTAATGGGGTCTGGTGCCCTCTTCTGGCCTGCAGGCATACACACAGACAGAATATTGTATACATAATAAATAAATAAACATTAAACAGAGTAGCATGTTTCTTACAAACTTCATCGTAGTCAGTTACATGTTCTTCCGTGTGCTTGCTCACTGTCCTCAAATCTCTAGTCTGTTGTTTCCCATCCTAATCATCATATTTTATTTTGCATTATTTGAATTATCTTATCAGACGATACCATCCTTGGGAAGTTGCTCAGGGCCCAGGAACAGGGCAAGGGCTTGCCCTCAGAGTACGCAGCCTTCTTGACACGCTGCTTCATCTGCCGTGTTCGCTGTTTGCTGGACAGCACCTCTGGCTTTCTGGTGAGTGTGTGAATGCCTCAGACATGTGGGATATATTCTACTCTGGTGAAGAAAAGGTTGGGGACAGAGTGAGCACTATGTTGAGGCTTCAAGCAAGAAGCCAGCAGATTTGGACCTTGACAGTCCGCACTGATAGGTAGATGGGGAGGAAATAAGATTATAAGAAAAGCAGATGAAATATTTAAAAATTGACAATTTTCAATTCAAGTTTAGGTGTACATTTATTTAAAGCTAATTTAAAAAGTCTTTTTCTAGGGCTGGAGATACAGTAAATAAGTAGGGTACTTCTCGCGCATGCACAAAATCCTGGATTTGATTCCCAATACCACATAAACTCTATATGGTGGCTTACATTTAAAATTCCAGCAGTTGGGAGAGACCTCTGTGGGTCCAGGCGTGAGTATGGGACCTCCAGGGGTGTAGAACTGAGCCAGAGAACTCTGCTGGACCAGGCCCAAGCCAGGAACCTCCACAGGAGTGGGCCCAGGCCAGAAACATCTGCAGGAGTGAGCCCAGGCCAGGAACATCTATGAAAACATGCCTGAACCAGCGACCTCCACCAAACAGGCCTGGGGGAGTGAACTCCACAGGACCAGGTACAAGGGAGCCACCGCTGACTGAGCAGGCCCAAACCAGAGGACTCTGCGGGACCGGGCATGAATCAGTGACCTCTGAGGTAGCAGGCCTGAGCCAGCAAACTTCACTGGAGCAGGCTCAAGGCAGCAATCACAGCAGAAACAGTCCCAAGCAAGCAACCTTTGTGGGAGCAGGCCCAAATGACCCCGGGTATTTCAGAGCTACCCACGGGAGCGATGAGTAACCTCCAGGAAGACGGAGTGACCAATAGGGTGACTGGAACCATGGCACTGAGATTCCATCTTATACCTGTAAGAATGGCCAAGATTAAAAACACCGATGACAACTCATGCTGGAGAGGATGTGGGGTGAAGAGAACACTTCTGCATTGCCAGTGTGAGTACAAACTGGTACAGCCCTTTTGGATGTCAGTGTGGCAATTTCTCAGAAAATTAGAAAACAACCTTCCTCAAGACCCAGCAATACCACTTTTGAGTATATATCCAAAGGATGCTCAGTCCACAAGGACATGTGCTCAACTATGTTCATAGAAGCATTGTTTGTCGTAGGCAGAACCTGGAAACAACCTAAATGCCCCTTGACCAAAAAATGGATAAGGAAAATGTGATACATTTACACAATGGAGTACTACACAGCAGAAAAATACCACATCTTGAGATTTGCAGGCAAATGGATGGATCTAGAAAACATCATATTGAGTGAGGTAACTCAGACCCAGAAAGACATACATCATATGCATTCACTCATAAGTGGCTTTTAGACATAAAGCAAAGAAAACCAGCCTACAATTCACAATTCCAGAGAACCTAGACAACAACGAGGACCCAAAGAGAGACATACATGGGAAGTAGAAAAGGACAAGATTTCTGAGTAAATTAGGAGCATGGGGACCATGGGAGAGGGTAGAAGGGGGGAAGAGTAAGGTAAGGGAGCAGAGAAAAATGTATAGCTCAATAAAATCTATACAAAATATAAAATAAAAAAATCCAGCAGTAGGAAGGTGGGAGTAGGGGGATCAGAATTTCAATTATCCCCAGCTATATAGCAAGTACAAGGCCAGCCTGGGGTACATGAGACCCTGGAAAGGAAGAAAGAAAGAAAGAAAGAAAGAAAGAAAGAAAGAAAGAAAGACAGAAAGACAGAAAGACAGAAAGACAGAAAGACAGAAAGACAGAAAGACAGAAAGACAGACAGACAGACAGACAGACAGACAGACAGACAGACAGAAAGAAAGAAAGCACACGGCTGGCTTTAATTCCAGCACTTGGAAGGCAGAGGCAGGTGGATCTTAGTGAGTTCGATGTTAGCCTGGTCTAAAAATCAAACTCCAGGGCACCCAGGACTGTTATACAAAGAAACCCTGTCTTGATAGAAAGAAAGAAAGAAAGAAAGAAAGAGAGAGAGAGAGAGAGAGAGAGAGAGAGAGAGAGAGAGAGAGAGAGAGAGAAAGAAAGAGAAAGAAAGAAAGAGAGAAAGAAAGATTAAAAGTAGGGTTGATAAGATTACTCAGTGGGTAAATGTGCTTGATTTACCTGACCACCTGAGTTTGATCTCTAGGACCCATACAGGAAGGGAGGAGTCAACTCTTGGAAATTGTCTTCTGACCTGCACATGTGCACCATGGCATAGCTGAATCCACAGTTTTGGTTGCAGCCCTTTCCCCCGACACACACAACATTTAGGCTTCCATAATTTTAAATGTAATATTTTTCTTTATTTTTATTAGTATATTTCTATATTTTATCATTTTACGTGAGAGTCTTTTGCCTGCATATATGTATATACCTTGTGCATGCTTCATGTCCATGAGAATCATAAGAGAGCACCAAATCCTTTGGAATTGGAGTTACAGATGGTTTTGAACCCATATCAGTGCTGGGAATTCAACCCAGGTCCTCTGCAAGAGCAATATGTGCTCTTAACGCTGAGCCATCTTTACAGCTCTGGGTTGCCACTTTTCACATTTGACCATTTCTTCTTCCACCTCCATATGAAAAGAAAAGGAGGTTATCCTTCTGGGACTTAGCAGAGCAAGGACTCTGGATCCTGCCTACCTTGCCAGGGCACACTGCATTTGCCCTTTCAGAACCTTGGCCCCTGGTTCCTGTACCCTCCCTTTCCAATGGGTCACAGCTGTCTGACAGCCCCTGGGCACCCTACATTGTCTTGGCAAGTATTCAACTCTGAGTCCTTGGACTGACCTCAGCTCCCAGTGGTAAGATTCCTGGTGGGCTCAGCTTCATAGATTGATTTGTGGATATGGGACCATAAGATCCAGTGATCACTGCATATTGTCCTTCTGGTCCCCCAAAACAAGCCAGGCATATATGCCCCATATCTCTATCCTGGACAAACGTTCCTGAGAGATTCCTATCTACACAGCCTGGACTAATGGTCATGGGGAGGTCCCATCTTCTTCAACTGGACTGGGTTTCTGAGAGAAGGAGCTATCTCCCTCACCTGGACTATGGAACCCCAGAAGTCAGAAGTCAGTCCCTGGGGACTGCAGATAGACCACCCACTAAAGGATGGACTGATAATTCCTAACAGGCTTACTGCACACCTGGGAAAGAGCCCTGAGGAAATCTGTATGTCTGCCTAGAGCCTCAGTATATCCTTTTGTTCTATCACAATCGGTGACCAGCTTCACCCAGCTCTGTATCCATGGCTCTGTGAGCTACCCCCATGTTGCAAGAAACCACTTGTTCATCCCTGATGCCTGGCTAGCTTAGCCCTGAAATAACCACACAGGCCCTTTTCACTCCATCCCAAAGTCTAGGCAGGGGAGGGGAGAGTCTGCCCAAGATCAGTTGTTAGAATATTGGCGTCTGATTGACCTTATGTAAATAATTCTAAATCAGCCATAGTGGGAATATTTATATCAAAGAAACTGACAAACAGTGCAAATCTAGAATGTTTTTTCCTTAGAGCTGGGCATTGAATATTTTCCAGTACACCACCACTGCCTAAAATTTCTTACATCATGTTTGTGATTGACACTAAGTGGATCCTTGCAATTATTTGTTCATTCCACAACCCATGGATGTATTTAGGCATGGATGAGTGGATAGGGCATGGGCACATACTGCTAGGTCATCTGAAGGCAAGAGAATCCTGAAGGAACTTGGGAATTAATTCACTGATATAGCAGTCTTCCCTATATAAAAATATTTTTCTATTATCATAAATACCTAAGCTCTTTTCCGGAAATTAAACTCATACCATATATGTTAGATTAATAAAAGCAAGCTATCCTCGTCTTCTCATTAAAAGCAAGGAATGCTCATTTGGAAATGGAAAGTTAAAGCTGGGTCAGCTCTCAGGGAACTTTCCAGGGAGCTCCTGAAAGAGGTGGCTGATGCCTGGGACAACTCAAGTTGATGTGTACTCATGTCTGCCTACATATACACACACCAGGGGTGTCAACATGTGCGTGGGCGAGTCTTTGCTATCCATAAATGGTCTTGAGACTGCCAACCAAGGAACTACTTATAGTCCTCGGGCAGAGCTAGTGCCCAGGAGGCTGAGCTCCACTAAGGTAGTGACCATCTTAGAACTCTGTGAACAGCTGTATTTGTCTTTAAAACACCAGACTATGCAGTTCCAAGGAAAGCTAAAATTCCTGTTTGGACAGAAGAAGAAGGCACCATCAGGAACAGCCCTGCCCCCGCGGCTCTCACTGTTTTGCATTGTGGTGCCAGTCCTGCCTTCGGTGACTGAGATGAAAATGAAAAGTGCCTTCTTGAGGGCGAAGCACAGGGCAGACTTTGTGGTTACAGTGGACTCCAGGTGAGCACGAATTGTCACACCATGACATTTAATTATGATAGCAAAATGTTTGTTATTTCTGTTTGATTTTCTATAACAAGTAATAAATATGCAATCTGATATTTTAAAACCCTTACACAACGTACCTGACTACTATTAGGGACAAGTATCTTTTCAAAATTGGTGCAAACTGTAGCACCACGCATTTTTATTGCAACCTTTCTAAATCTGCCCTTAATTTCTAGGCTCAGAGTAAGACCCCAGAGAGAGGTCGAAGTGGTCCTGTCAGCTCCTTGGGCCCTGCCTCCTCAGTTTGTTGGTGTTGGTTCATAACACAGACAGATATTCAGTGGGCTCATCTAAGATTAGTGTCAAAACTGTACCAGCTTCCTAGGCCCTCATCTGGATACTCCTGTAGCATTTCCCCAAATTTCAAGAGTCCAAACACTCTAGTTTCCTGGGCCATATCTATGGTTGATTCATGGATCCATTTCCAGGAGAGATTTAAAATGCAATGCATATAAAGCTATTTTCTACCTGGTATAGTGACATAGGAGCATGTGGTCAGAGGGAATTGACTGGGATGCCTCAGTTCTGAATCTGATTTCTGTTGTATGACGCTGTTCTTGGAGAAACATGAACAAATGTCTACTCACCCGAGATAGTGAGCTGAAGACAGACCAAAGTATGGATAGCACAAAGTCCAATTTGGTGAAGTGATGAGTTTTATTAGGGTTATGTACAGGAATGTGGGTGAGAGGTTACTTATAGGAGCAGAAACAACTCAAAGAGCCAATGTGGAGATCCTGCCTTGTCTACCAGCCAATGCCAGCAACCACATAAGGTTGAGCCTGCCTCTCTCCTATTGGGTTTGATTTCACCCTGCCATGGCATCTGTGACTCACCTTCACCTTCTGTAAATTGTATGTGTACAACAATGGTCACACAAAATTTTCCTTTCTTTGCTTTGATTGCCTAGATTTGTTGTTCTTACTTCTGTTCAGTGCTTACCTGGCAATGAAGCCAGAGTTGTTACCTTATGGTCTTCTGGGAGCAGGGCATATGGAATTAGCCTCCAGGGATGAAATTGGGACTGAAAATAGCCTAGGAAGTTCACAACATGGGGCAGCAAACCGAGAACAGTAGACTTCTAGAACATTCTAAAAATAAGTTTGTGTGCTTTCTCATTTTTTATTAAAGAAACAGCATATAAATATAAGGGAATAAAGCAAGTCCATTGGGGAAAATACTTAAATTCCATGATCTATCCAGAGCCCAGTGGTCTGCAGAACCTTGTAGTTTGCAGGGGCAGACCCCATCCGTATAGGGGCAGAGGGAAAGGTCAGTGTATATCAACCTCAAGGAGTACTCTGCTTTTGTTCAGTGTCTGAGGTACCTGTTTTCAAAGAGTAATTTGGTTTGTTTTCATCAGAGATCCCCACAAATCTTCTCTTTTCTGAGTGCTTTTCTAGTCCCTAAACAAAGCTCTGGGAACACTAATACTGTGCTCAGAACTGGGCCTGGAGAGAGACCTGGAACCCAAGCAAGAAAGTGAAATTTCTGGTACCATTTCACTCTGTCTTCTGTTTGTGGTGGACACAAGAGTGGGGACACAGGCCACCCCCTTTCCAGCAGACACTTAGATGGAGTTGTAGGAATTCTGAATACAACAACCCTATAAGTAGGTGCCATCCTATGCAAACCGTTAAGACTCTTATGGAGAACCTGGTGTTCATGCCTCTGCCCGCTCTGCTTTGACCTGAATTCAGCACTGCTGTCAGCAAGCACACCACAATTCATTCTCTGCAGAGGTAGAGATGGTCGTGCCAGGCCCTGAGAGCTTGCTCTGGGAGCAGCTGTATGGCTATTGCAGGAGCAGCTGCCATCTCTCACAGCTTTCTTAACAAGTGTTTGTGTTGACCGTTCCTCTTTATTTCTTCAGCCTGCCGTGCTCTTTTACCTACCTGCTAAAGTTTATTTCAGATCCCCAAATCAACCCTTGACACAGTTTTATCATTGTGTCCATGAATACAAAGTGGGGAAAAAAGATGATTCCTGGAGAGTACACATTCCCAGCAGTTCCCCTGTAGGTCAGGCTTCCCTTTCTCTCTGTCTCAGCTCTTTACAGACCCCAGGTACAAAGAGCATAGAGCACTATAGAGTGAGTTCAGTAGACAGAATTTGAGATCCAGCATGGTACCCAGCAGAGGGGCATCACCAGAAAAAAATGCCTACATTTCACCTTCAAAAAGCAAAATGGCTCTATCAGGACAACTCAAAATTATTCTAAATAGAATTTAAGGGCAAAATCCATGATTCCAGTAGCAGGCCAGACTTGGCCATTCATCCAGATTTGTCCATTAAATAGACCGGTAGTGATAAAAATAGAGAAGGGAGACATAGATTATAGTACTTTGGAGACAGGAACATATGAAGGGCCCCATCTTTGGCGCATTTACATAAGCTTGTGGCTAAAATTGAGGCATAACTGGGGTAAGGGTAAGAGATGTATGCTTAATTAAGAAGTTACAATCAAGGGATGGTAATCTGGTTAACCACTGTTTCAGTTCTGGTTCTGCAAAGTGGTCCAAAGAAGTCTTTATTGCTTGAGGAGATAAACTGGGTCTCAGGAGATGGTTAGTATTTCTTCCAGCTGTTGCCCCACCATCACAAATAGTCTGTCTTAAGAGATCCCCTGTAGCTGGAATCTAAGGTGTTTATAGGTTTGGAGAAATGACTAAACACCTTTAGTCACCTAAATGTGAATATGAAACAGAATGCTGTAGAAAGCTGACAATACGATGCCTCTGTTATTCTTATTTTTGTGACTTAAGCCTTGAAGACAAATGAGTTAGTGAGCTGACTAGTTTTATGTCAAGCACAAGCTAGAGTCGTCTGAAAAGGAGCAAACCTCAACTGAGAAAATTCCTCCATGAGATCCAGCTGTAGGGCCTTTACTTAACTAGTGATTGATGGAGGAGGGCCCAGCTCATTAGCCATCCCTGGACTGGTGGGTTCTATAAGAAAACAAGGTGAGCAAGTCATATGAGCAAGCCAGTAAGCAGCACTCCTCCGTGGCCTCTGCATCAGCTCCTGCCTCCAGGTTCCTGCCCTCCCTGCTTTCAAAGATGAACTGTTGTATGGAACTGTGTGAAATAAACCCTTTCCTCCCCAAGTAACCTTCAATCCTGACACTTCATCACAGCAATAATAACCAGAACTAATTGTCCATGGACACCTATCTAGAAACTAGCACTACCTATCCTAGCTGTCTTAGTTCTGGTTATCCTGCCTTTAGAACCCAAGTGAAGAGTTTGGTTTTTAATAAAAACAGCTTCCAAGTTCATGTTATAACTTTGACCCCACCCCCACACAAAGTAGTGGCTTTGTGATCACCAATTCATTGTTCTGATGGTTGTATAGAACACAACTTCATTGAGTCACAGGAATAAACTGTATTTTCATTCTGGCCTTCTGGAGGGGAGGAAGTTACAATCTCTAGAAGCCACCTATGTGCCATATACCTCCTAAAGTAATTAATATTTGTATTTGTGTTGGCCCCCAAATGCAACGTGCTTCAGAATCTCTGCAATGTAAAGATTAAAAGGTGTATGTTATTTCTATCTTCTCTTGAGCAAGCAATAACACCTGTCTTGCTAATTTCTTTCATTGTCATATTGTTAATATGCATTAATGCTGTCATTTGATCTTTACAGGGCAAAAGCTGTTACAAGTCTATGTGAATCAGAATCACATCCCAAACCCAATTACTTAGCAGGTACTTCTAAAACTTCATTTTCTTATCTTTTCTCTATGGCAAGATGTTTTTGTCCCTGAGAGAGTTCCCCATGCCTACAGAACTCTGTGTATTTCTTGGAGATGCCAGGGCTATCAGGGAGTATCACAGAGATAATTGTCTGGGGCTGTCACTCTGGTCCTAGAAACTGTTGAGAAAAAACTGTCTCATTAGTCCTCATTGTGACATCTTTCCCTCTCTAAATTCTAACAGGAAGGAGCAATGGAGAAAATGGCATTTCACTCTTCAGGGGACAAACAGATAGGAGCCACTGGGCCCGGGCCCTAGCCAGGCCTTCATGTCTCTGCCTCAGGGGTGGTCCTGACCTCCTCCTCGACCCCAAGGGGGCTTCAGGGTAAGTGGTACCAGGATGCACAGTCCTAGCCCCTATTTAAGCCACCGTGGTTATGAGAGTGAAAGGGATGGAATAGGCATGGAGAAGAAATAATTGCTATAGCCCTGACACCTGTGTTTGTGGACATCCTCTCAGCCTGGGCAGCAAGAAATCAGGGAGGAGTATATTGGGCTCAGAAGTCTTTCAGGTCACAGCCCTTCTCTCACCTGCCACATGCCCACACTCTCACCCAATCCTGACCAGGGATCTTTACCAAACTGACTACTAGGTAGTACCTTCCTTATCTCTCATCATACAGGTGCTAGTCCTGAAGCCACAAAGTATCCTGTGGTCAACCACAGGATTGTTCTTTCAATTTGATAGTCCCTATAGTGTTATATTAGTCATGATCATACGACTGATGGAGGATATTCACCCACGCCTAGTGATGCCTCATTGGACTAAGGAGAGCAGCATGCTGCCTGGAACCCAGGGACCAAGGAAGGCAAGGTAGAGCAAGGAAGGGTCTTCACTGTTCCCTAGGATTGACAACAGGTGGTTGAAAAGGCCAATGTGATCTTGGAAGACTTGAAGCTTCCCTTGGGAGTTAACTGGTATCGTACTAAGTTGTCATCCTCTCATAGAAAGGCTGAGGCCCCTAAGGAGGTAAGAGTATCACTTCTGTTGCTGTGTTCAATGGTTATCTTTTCTCTGAAGGGACAGGGAAGAAGAGGACCAGAAACACATAGTAAGGAGATCTACTGGTGCCCGGGGGCAGAGGGAGATGCACAAGTACAATTATGGCTTGGAAACACCGATACACTTGAGGCACCTGAACTGGAGCACAGAACAGAGAAGTCAGGAGGTCACTACCAAGCTGACACGGCAGCCCAGTAAGAATGAGCCATCCACCTGTCCAATGACCCATGGTTCCTGTATGCCCTACCCTGGAGGCCAGGGCATGTTCAGTACCGGCAATATGGCTTCTTTCAAAGATTCACCAGACTATCACACTGGTGCCTACTGCAGTCAGATGAACAGACCCTTGCAAGATATCCACCAGGTACATCCCTCCACCTGTCATATCCCCCAGGGAAGCCTAGGATCCAGGATCCCTCTGCATGGAATGCAGCGCTTCTCAGCCAGGGGTTTTTCTACAGAGGAAACAAAATTGCACAGCCTGCCAGTCACCATGGACACCCCATATAATCCAGTATTATCACTGGAAGTACCAATCAAGATGGAAAATGAATCTGGGACCCAGAACATAGTTGATGTCAGCACAACTAGTCGGGTATGGTTGGGAGCTAGCGACATGGCCAGGAGACATCTGGTCAGTTTCCCTGCCAGGATGCACCTGAAAGCAGAGCCCGACTATAGGCAGCAGGTCTGTACCCCACACCTTGGGCATGGTATGCTAGGAACGAATCCCCACAGCAGAGATACTGTGGGATCCTGCAGGGAGCCGGCTCCTCTCCGTCCTGCACATTGCACCTGCCTGGATCCAGAGTCTCCTCACCACCTCTTCATGCAGGGTCACAATGAGAGCCAGCACCCCTCTTTGGGCCAAGACTGCAGAGCTCCTATTGTTAAGCGTGAGCCCCTGGACTCACCATCATGGGCTGGTCCTGGCCAAGTGACTGTGCCCAGGATGTTCACTAAGGATGCCTCTATAGCTGTGATCCCACCTAAAGGCTCTGATGGGATTTTCCTACCCTAGAGCTGCGGTTCTGCTGGAAATTTCAGTCCTTGGATGACGGAATGTGATCAGAGATTCTTCTAGTGACACTCTTTACAGAACTCCATGAGTGAGGCTGAGATTCCCTGTGTGTAGCTGAGTGGTAGAGTATCCTGAATCATATAGAACATCAGAGGATTCTCATGAATAAACCTAAGTCTGTTCAAGTGGACAGTATTTCTCTTTGAAATTAATGTGCTTATGAAAGTAGCCAATAGTATTTTATGGTGGGCAACCCTCAACTGGTGTGTCAAAGTGATGTGTCCCTGGTACCCAGTCTTTCTACATCTCCTGCCTGTATTCAACAGAAGTTCTGAGGCTTCTAAGGAGATCTGAAGCCACACTTTGCGTAGTGGTGGTCAGGGAAACATCCCATCCCATTTGGTATTTTCTGTGGATTTCTAAATATGATTTATGTACCTGTATCTCTGTGCACATTACATGGTGGAGGTTATAGTGTCCAGGTCAGAAATCAGGGAAGCACAACATACAAAAAAGGGTGAAGCCACACTGGTGAGGATGAATTGTCCCTGGCTATTGTCTACAGAGCTTTCCTGTAAGGGCAACGGTTCCTAGCCCAGAGAGACTTAGGGACAGGAAGGCAGCCAGTATTTGTTCTGAATTGCCAAGGCAATGTACTCTGATTGTAGGATATGTGGATATTAAATATGAAACAGAAAGAAAGGGTTACCACGAATCATTGGCAAGATGACTTATGGCTGGTAGAGCAGTTGAGAGTGTTCCAGGGAAGGGCTCAGACCAAAAATCTTGCTCCATTAGCACAGGGGCCACTGAAAAGGAAAATGCCTGCTGTGCTCTGCCTACCTCTATGGTACAGAGAGTCTTCATCGGGGATGAGCATCCACCTCTGATGTCACTTCCCCTGAGGTCTTAGGAATGCCTGCTAAGGAGCTTGATGGAGCTCATGGCTAATTCTACTAGGCAGTCTCTTCAATACAGACTTTCTTTCCTTATCTATGGCCCCAGGAAATCATTGCTCAGCTACTGGCTTAGTGAAGAAGCTGTCTGGAAAATGCCTATCACCTTGTTAGAATCTGGTTGGGTGGGCAGAACCAGGTTCTCTGCTCAGCTTTTGAGATGTCTGGCTCTCAAGAGGACTCACTGTGGGACAGGGAATCACCTGAAGATCTAGAACTGAGAATTACCCACTACAGGAGCCTGGGAACTTGTGTTCTCTCTGTCCCCCAGTCCACAGAGGCTTTTCAAATGGGAAAGGCAGGAGCTGTGCTGTCACAGATGTGAGGCTTGCTCATAACGTCACAGCAGCTTCTCCATTACCTAAATAAAGCCTGCACCTTGTGCCCAGCCACCGATCTCCCTCCTTCCCTCAAACTGTCTCAGTCCCACTTTGCACATTTCTGACAAGCACAGCTTACACTGTGGGTCCTAATGAATAACAACAGGTACAATTTGAGTCTTCCTCAACACTTCCTATTCTAACCACATGCCCAACTCCCAAGGGCAGAATATGCTCAAACCCCCCATGTGTCTGACATTCTAGTATTTCTCTCTGAAAGTGATTAGTTATGTTCCTATCCTCAGCCAGACTCAGCATCCTATATGCTTATTACACAAGAAGCAGAGAACACAGTAAACTCTTATGCTCCAATGTATACAACATTTCCCAGGCATACTGGAGCCAGTGGAAGAAACCTTGGAAAAGAGTCAAGAAGAGGGAATTCAGAGACATATTTAGGAATAGTGGTGTGTATTACAGCACTAAAGAGATTGAAGCCTATGAGACCCTTTTCAAAATAAAATAAAATAAAATAATAAAACGCATTATTATATATTTATCAATCTTAGCTAGATTCCCCATCCTCTAGCTATGTAACCAGAGAGGAGCCATGTTCCCCAGATACTCTGAACCTTTCCGATGAACCTCATCTGCACACTGCTGGGATGAGTTACCAAGTGTGAAGTGTGGGCAGCTCAACTGGGACCTGGGCTTTCCCTGCAGGTCAGGCTTTGTGTACACTGAGTTCTGCACTTGGATATCAGTTCTGCAGATTTTGTGTCTGTGAGACATCACATTACATGGCAAGCTTGGATACTTGGTGTCAACACTGTCCAAGGAAGCTCAAAACTCCCACATCTGCACTTTTGTTGCTCATTCATCACAAGTGCCCAGTCAACTTGTACAGGAGGTGCACTGAGGTTACCCCTGCTTTATGAGTTCACCATCTACACTAAGCACAGGCTCACACTTTTTGTGATATCTAACTTTTGCCTATGTGGCTAAAATATCAAAATCAAATATAGTGAGAGATGGGTTAAGAAGTAATATGAATACATATTTACATTTGCAGTTTCTACTAGAAAAAATCCTCAAGATCTAGACTGGCCCAACAAACTTTAAACAGATACACTACAATGCAGCTTTCTGTGCTGTTTTCTCGGTGCTCTGTTTTAACAGAGAATGCAAATACATTTCTTATACTGTAGTCTGTACTAAATTTGCAAAACTTCTGCAAAATAAACCTCATGTTCCCATGTATTTAGTGTAAGATTGTGTGTCTTTTCCTTCAGAGAGTGTTTTGGATTTACATTCTAGGACAGCAGAAGGGAATAATAAATGTAAAAGTAGAAAGGCTGGAGATGAAAACTGGGGTTGGGCCCTCTCATTGAGGATTGGGACCTTCATGTGCTCTCAGGACGCCCCATCCTCACTGCATGTGAAGAGTGAGGAAGGCATGACAGAGGCCTCTTGTCATCCAAGGATATTTATTTATTTATTTATTTATTTATTTATTTATTTATGATTTCTGTCTCTTCCCCGCCACCGCCTCCCATTTCCCTCCCCCTTCCCCAATCAAGTCCCCCTTCCTCGTCCGCCCCCCTCCCTGCCCTGTGGGAAGTCCAAGGACCACCCACCTCCATCCAGGTCTAGTAAGGTGAGCATCCAAACTGCCTAGGCTCCCACAAAGCCAGTACGTACAGTAGGATAAAAAACCCATTGCCATTGTTCTTGAGTTCTCAGTAGTCCTCATTGTCAGCTATGTTCAGCGAGTCCGGTTTTATCCCAGGCTTTTTCAGACCCAGGCCAGCTGGACTTGGTGAGTTCCCAATAGAACATACCCATTGTCTCAGTGTGTGGGTGCACCCCTCGTGGTCCTGAGTTCCTTGCTTGTGCCTCCCCTTCTGCTCCTGATTTGGACCTTGAGATTTCAGTCCGGTGCTCCAATGTGGGTCTCTGTCTCTGTCTCCTTTCATCGCCTGATGAAGGTTAATATTCAGGAGGATGCCTATATGTTTTTCTTTGGGTTCTCATTCTTAATTAGATTCTCTAAGATCACAAATTATAGGCTCAATGTCCTTTATTTATGGCTAGAAACCAAATATGAGTGAGTACATCCCATGTTCCTCTTTTTGGGTCTGGCTTACCTCACTCAGGATAGTGTTTTCTATTTCCATCCATTTGCCTGCAAAATTCAAGAAGTATCCAAGGATATTTTTATCCTGTGATAGTTACCACATTTTAATCCTTTTTGTTTATATCTTATGCATTTTGTATCTTCACAACAGTCTCTGTCTGTGACTTTTGACAAAACCTAGACAATTTGATGCTAATCTCACCACACACAAATTTTCTCAGGATTAACTGGTCATTGCGAGAAAATTCCTCCACTACTAGCCCTTTTGTTTTCTTATGTTTTAAATTTTCTCTGATAACAGTCTTGCCACATTTAATCCATTTACTTGTGCTCATTTGAGCACATTTCTATTTCCCATTCTGTTTTCAATTATGTCTGATTAAGTCTTCCTTTTACCAAGTTCTCTGCTTGCTGGAATACTCTCTTCTCCCCCTTCCTTCTTTCCTTTCTACTTGTTTGGATGCAATTCTATATACAATTCTATATATCCTTGATACATATTTGATAACATCTAATCTGTAGCTAAGCAAGAACTCTATCCTGAGAACAAGAAGAGATCTTGGGCAACATCATAATTTGTTTCTGTTGAGATTGAAGGGGCCCAAAGAGTCTCTCTGGATTTTCTTTGCCAACAGCTGAGTCTTAGCACTACTCTTCAGGCTGATAAGGATGTATTTGTCCCAAGTGAAGTGTCTTTCGTAGCCTACCCTACTCTAGGGCCCAGCACAGCTATGCAACCTTCTAGCAATCCCTAGGATAGACTGTTTCTGGAAACATTCTTTCACCAAGGAAGCTCTGAGCTGATTATCTGGGTTTCCAGAAGGAATCTCCATCTGCTCTCCACCTATTTAGAACCTGTACCTCCTCCCTTGCTCTGGGTGAGTGTAAAGTGGGCTCTGGGCTACTCATTTTCCTGCTTCAGGGAAGCATAACTTTCAGTCACTGATTGTTTATTTCCCTAGTTTGGCCCTGGTTACTCCTATGCCTGCCCAGAAATCCACCTATACATTCAAAAGTATGCTTAGTATATTCATCCTGTGACCCCAAGTGCTTGTTGAGCTTTGTCACCATGTGGCTAGCCAAAAATAGAAATCAGGAAAGATTCTTAAATTTTGTTTTAGTTGTATGAAAACAGAAGTTGAGTCCTTTACTGAAGCAGTTCTCTTCTAAGTAGGCTAGTTAACCAAATCTTTTAGGGAGCACCATGATTAAACTCTTCAACACATAGTAGGCAGTAGTAGATTAGGCGTTAGATATAAGGTAACTAAGAAAAACCACAGCTTTGTCTTGGTATCTTTGCCTACTGACTTTGCAGTTAAACATTCAAGAAGCTGAAGTTCCTCCTACTATATCATAAACTAAGGGACCAGAGCACTTTCCTAATTACAACTCATGCAATGAGGGTCTGCATCTTCAAAAGCTGACTTCATTATATCATTTGCATTGTAGTTATAAAAGATTACCCACATTGTTCCTTCCTTTACTGAAGATCTGCCCTATCATGCTCTTGTTTGGGAGACCCAGAAGGTGTGCTACTCAACAAGTGTGTGTAAAGAAAAGGTGAAAAACTAAGATCCCTTAGGGCAGAGTTGTCAAACCGGGTGGATTAGTAGAACTTAAACCTGCCAAAATTTACTAAAAGTTCACACCAGTGTGGAAAAGTCTCTGTGTCTGTAGAGGTAGGGAAACTTGTAGAAACTTTCTGGCTGTTCCTAGTTGTCAAAGCAATTTGATGTTTCCTTGCTTCCTTCAGCTGAAGGAATTCCACCAGCTGTTTTTTTGCTTGTGTTTTTGTTTTCTTTGTAGTTTCTATGAGCTATGTTACCAGCTATCGGCAGGACCCCACTCTCTGTTCCTCAATTTGAATCTACCAGCTGTCAGAAACCTCTGGGGGACAGGTGAGAACAAAGACAGCAAGAAAAAGCAATTATACGAAGTATAAGTAATGCAACTTTGAACACACAACACAGTTAAGAGATGGAGAGGTGTGGAGAGACCGAGGTGGCTAAGGAGAGGAACTGAGCGTGGAAACAGCCCCGCCCAAGGGGGAACGCTTGTCAAGGACAAACCCCAACCCACCCAGGGCGCCCGCACCAAAGGCCAATGTGGTCCCTCGCCAAGGTACAATGAATCCTGAGAAAAGGAGTGGGTACAGCAGGTGCTGCATCAGAAGAGAGGGGGGGAAACGGCCAAACGCCAGAGGGCTGAGCCAGGCCAGGATCCGCAATCCCTGTTTAATTCTGAGTCTGTGTCACAAGGGGCAGGACAAGCTGCCAAACAAGGAGACTACCGACGAACTACCCGCACAGCAGCAGCCTTCAGGACCAGGTTGCCCTACTCCCGTTCTTCCGCCCCAACGCCGGAAACGGAAGTGACCACGCTGCACACTTCCGGTCTGGCACCGGGAAGTGGAAGCAACTTCGCGGACGGTGAGGAGCCTCAGTTCTGCGACTGGGTCGTTGGGCTGTGGGCGGGGCGCTGCGACCTGGCACTGCGTGCCCCTTAGCGGGTTTGTACCTTGGCGAGGGACCACATTGGCCTTTGGTGCGGGCGCCCTGGGCGGGTTGGGGTTTGTCCTTGACAAGCGTTCCCCCTTGGGCGGGGCTGTTTCCACGCTCAGAGTTAGTTCCCTTTTGCGCCTGTGGCCCGCAATCTGACAGTCCTCAGGCTGCCATTGGAACCAGGCTCCGTGGAGATCCGTGTCATTTCTTCCCTTCTGATTCTCAGTGTTCAAGGATCTTTATCTTGCAAAGGTTTTGTCAGCTTTCCTTTAGCATCAGGCTTGTACCACTGCAACTGGGCCGCCTTTCACCTGTCAGCTGGAGGGTTGGATGCTGAGTTTAATATCTAACCTTGTAAATAGAATTATGCCGGCTTTAATGTCGTTGGGAATGCTGGGGATAGCATGTCAAACCAAAGCAAGAAAACAAAAAGAAAGCAATTGCAATTAGGTGTGCAACGGAATCCCAACTTATAAAGAAATAGAGAAGAAAAAAGTAAAAACAGCGCTGTTAGAAGTGGTTGCCTCTAGAATCCTATTTCTGTTGTCTGATCAGATTTTTTTGTTTGGACATATGTAGTTTTATAATCAGAAGGTGAAGAAAGATAGTATTTGCAAAGTTGCTGTTCCACTTGAATGAGAGATGCAAAGAGAGTGATACAGAGTGAGAAGTTACATGACTGAAAATCTACAATGAATTTTGGTGGTTTTCTGAAGCTACATGGGAATGGTGAATGAAAAGCTCCAGGAGGTGGTTTATTATCATCATCATCACGTCTGTGAATGTTGAATACCTGAAATCAAAGGAAAATGTTATTGATTTCCCTCATTTGCTAGTTACTCAGTAAATAGCCTGTGGTCCATGACTAGGATAGTGTTGGATCTCAGACTGAAGGCTGATTGACCTAGTATCTGAATATCTGTGCTTAGGGGAACAAACTGCTTGAGAAAGAAGAATGTGTATCTTCTTTCTGTCTTAACTTTATTTTAAAGGTGTTAAATGTAAGAAATGGAATCTTGGGTACCCAGAGAGTGCTAAGGGGGAGTCATTGTACTCATGTTTGCCCACTGGGCTGCTGAGGTGTATGTAATAGTCATTGTCTCCCCGTGAATACCAGTGGGCATGGCTAGCAATGGGGTGACAGCTCCAGAAATGAAAAGTTGGACTAATAATAATGGTGATAGAGATACTTTTGACATAGTAGTCTTAAGTGCCTGTATAAATATCCTCTGTGTGTGCCTCTCTTATGCCTCTGAGATATCCCTGCTTCTCGTTGTTAAGGTAAAACTTGAATTCCAAAGATTTGTGGTTTTGTTAAGGAGTTTATGACCCAAGTTTAGCTTTTTTTTGGTGTACTGATTTAAATATCATAAAAACTTCCTTTAGTTGCACTGTGATCACATGAGCTTTGCATGTTGAGTTTGGTGCCATCACTTCATCCTTTTTAACATACCCTCTCCTTTGTGTACATAGTGTACCTGTGGTATGATATGTGCAAAGATTCTACCTGCTTTTTGACCATGAAGGAGACAGACCTGG